AGACTACGTCACGCACGGACACCCCCTCTCGCCTCCATGAGTGCGAGACCTTTGCGACACTTTTGGAATGCTGGTAGAGGTAAACCTTTTGTAAAAATATCAGCAACGTTGTCAGTTGAAGAGACTTGGGTGACTTCAATGTCTCCACTGGCATGGTAGTCTCGTATGAAGTGGTGGCGGATGTCTATATGTTTAGTGCGTGAGTTGACACTGTCGGTTCGTGCTAGATGCCAAGCACCACGATTATCTTCAAAGATTATCGTAGGCTTTTTGAGTGCGAAGCCAAGTTCTTTCAAGAACTGACGTGCCCATAATACTTCTTGAGTAGCATAGCCTAGAGCGACGTATTCTGCTTCTGTTGTTGAGTTGACTACAGACTGTTGCTTCTTTGATCCCCAACATATCGGCCCCATACCAAGACTGACAGTATATCCTGACCTAGATCTACGTCCGTATTGGTCATTGGCATAATCAGCGTCTGCGTAAGCCAGCAATTCAATTTGTTGATGGAGTCCTCCTAGTACAAGACTGTAATCTAATGTACCCTTGATATAGCTGAATATTTGTAGGACAGCTGCCCAGTGTTTCTTTGACGGACCGAGGTGGCCCATATATTGGCCAGCATGAGCGACGGCAGCTGCAATATCTGGTCTGGTCATGTTTGAGGCGTATAGTAAAGATCCGACTGCTTTACGGTATAGGTGAAGATCCCATGGCTCCTCTAATTGTGTTCGAGGTGGTAAGTATTGGCCATGTTGCCATGGTATGTTGGTTGGATTACAGTCGTCCATCCTGAATTCTTGAAGCATCTCCTTCAAGTACTGGCGTTGATTCAAGCTAATGGTTCTAGCTTTGCGATCCCGTACTATTTCCATACCAAGGAAGAAGTTGAGTTGGCCTTGATCAGTCATCTTGAAGGCATGGTGAAGTTCCCGTTTAGCTTCTGTGATGGCTTGAGTATTTCCAGCTAGTAGTGTATCATCGACAAAGACTCCAAGTATGGTGAGGTTGTCCTTTCTGCGTCGAATCCAAACACAAGGATCGGTTCGAAGTTGCTTATATCCTAGTTTGACTAGAGCAGCTGAGTATGTCTGGTTCCATAATCGAGGAGATTGTTTGAGACCGTAGATACCTCGTCGAAGACGCAATACTGCCTTGGGTCGTTTGGGATCTACAAACCCTTCTGGCTGGTTGATGTATACTTCAGTATCGATTGGACATTGGAGAAAGGCAGTAACGACATCCATCTGATGTAGCTCGAGATCCAACTTGGCGGCAATGTCCATAATCATGCGAGCTGATGCCATTTGGAGAGTTGGTGAGTACGTTTCACCCATGTCGACCCCCTCTCTTTGAAGAAATCCTTTGGCGACTAGTCGAGACCTATATCTGACCGTGACCCCATGTTTGTTCTGTTTCTTTGCATACACCCATCGAGTAGGTATTGGTTTCGTTCCACTTGGCAAATCCACAAGTTCAAAGACATGGTTGGCTTTCATGTTGGACATTTCTTCGATCATAGCTTCCATCCAGTCGTCAGAATCTGATGATTTGATAGCTTGCTTATAAGTATTGGGGGTAGATTCATCATTTGCTGCGAGCGACCATTCACCGTCAAAGATGGAATAATCCGCCATAAGTACCCATTCATCCGCTTCGATAGCCAGCTTGGATACACCCTTTAGTAGTTCACCACCTAGCTTTTTATGTCTAGACCTGGTTACAGTTGGTGATCCATGGGCACTCTGGAAGTCGTCGTCACTTGCAAGAGTGTCTGTAGCATCTATAATGTCATCGTTGGTTGGTGATGGGTGCTCGGTATCAGAGTGCTCGGATGCTGAATCATTGAGAGGCTCGTCTCCGTC